TGGTGCTTATGGTAGCCAAATGATGGGAGGCATGGGCTTATCAAACCAGTCCAGTTACGGTGGCCCAGCTAGCCAGCAGCTGAGTGGTGGTTATGGAGGTGGCTATGGTGGTCAGAGCAGCATGAGTGGATATGACCAAGTTTTACAGGAAAACTCCAGTGATTTTCAATCAAACATTGCATAGGTGCATAGGTAACCAAGAAACAGTGAACAGCAGCTACTACAGTAGTGGAAGCCGTGCAACTATGGGAGTGAACGGAATGGGAGGGATGTCTAGCATGTCCAGTATGAGTGGTGGATGGGGATTGTAATCCTGATCACTGACTCTAGTGAACATTTTTTTTAAAAGAAAAAAAAACTTACATAAAACAGTTTTTGCAATAAAAAAAAGAAAGTAAAATAAGAAGATGTGTGGCTTCAAAGTCTAATTTTGCATCTACACTTGGTTAGCTACAAGTCCTCCATGACTAAGGGCTGAGGGGGTAGACATATTGCGGGCAAGGAGCATATACATTGGGGTTTCTGGGATGCTCAGCTGGGAAAGTAAGAAGATGCTGGATTCTAATGTAAGGAGAGTTGGAATACAAATATCCGCCTGCAATGGTTTTCCTTTAAGTGGGTCTTTTTTTTTTTTTCTAACAAAGATGTTTATGTGGCTAACAAACAAACTGATACTCCCAATGATTAGCATTTAAAAGACACAAATCAAAATCACAATGAGACATCACCTCACTCTGCCAATTATGGCACTGATTTTAAAAATTACAAAACGACGGAAACAACAAATACTGGTTAGACTGTGAAGAGACTGAAACTTTATACACTGCTTGAACTGAAGAATGATTCAACCATTATGAAAATGGTATGGCACTTGCATAAAGGATCCTTCAACAAAAGGGACCTGCTTGTTTCCTCAGTACAGTTTGATATTATTGTTGTTGTTATGTACTGTCAAGTTCCATGCGACTTTAGCAACCCTATGTACAATAGCCCTAAATTCTGTTCTATCCTGTACCAATCTTATTGTCTCTGACACGCTTATCCCAATCAAGGGACCAATCCACCTCATCACGGGTCTTCTTCTCTTGTCCTGTGCCTCCACCCTCCCAAGCACGAAGTCCTCTCCAAGCACTGGTCCCTCTTTGCGACATGTCCGAAGTACGTCAGATGAATAAGTGGGTCATCTTGATGCCAGATCAAGACAGACATTTCCAACCCAAGCATTCATTTTATCTCCCAGTTACTAAAAATCACCTCAGGTCTTCAACAGCATTTGGGAGTTTGGCAACCATCAAGAGGCAAGCCAGAGTATGGAGAGACAATTCAATTAGGTTCTCTTGCAAACCCGGCACATTCAGACTTAGAAAGTGTCCTTTCTCAGCCTTGCCTTCACCAATCCTCTGTCTTAATGCTTTAGGACTTGGGCTTGCTGCTTAATGAGTATATTAGGTGATCAATGAAAGCAGGCTGGAAAAATGTCTAGAGAGAGAGAGCCTTTTCCTTCTCATTACCTACCTGCTGCTTTGTCCACCTCTGCATATTCTGCAAGGCCATCGGGGATAACCAGGTGCGATCAGGGTTAATTAATACTCACTGGATTTTGTGGACTTGAGAACAGAAGTCAAATATATCCATAGCACTTTCCAAAGCACAGGTGACCTCATCAGGTACCTTTTCCCCAGGAAAGCCGAAGACACAGAGGAAGGAGCAACCCTGTGAGGGAGAGAGTCAGCAAATGCAGCTAGTGGACAGAGGGCTTAAAAGAGAATTGGCTAGAAGCTCTAGTGTAGTGATGGCTACATTTTTCACTTTGTGAATCACATCTCCTTGTGATTTCTCTCACACCTGTCTTATGTTTACTACTGCAAACAAGGTGTTTCCTAGAGGCAAAGATGGTGAAACTTGGTCTCACATACTTTGGGACATGTTGTTAGGAGGGGCAAGCCCTTGGAAAAAGACACCATGCTGGGTAAGGTGAAGGGTCAGATAAAGAGAAGAATACCCTCAACAAGATAGAGTGAGACTAGGGCTGTAACAGAGGGCTTGGTCATGCCAGAGACCATGAGGATGATACAGGATAGGACCAGATTGAGATCTGAGGTTCACTTGGTTATTCTGAGTCATGATGACTCAATTACACACTTAACAACAACCATGGCTACTACTTTTTGTGGTCGAGTCAAAACTGATTCCTATCTGATCCTCCAGCAGGTTTTCAGAGGCTGTAAACCACCCACCAGGAGATTGCTCATCTTTCTCCCACAGAAACACAGGTGGATCCCAAGCTCCTAAGGGGCAAAATTCTCTATGGACTCTGCCACCAAAGCTCCTTGTTATTTTAGTAAACTTTATATACATAGATGAACTTTTGATGCATTATTAACTATAGGGCCTGAACCCCAGAGAAAAGGTTGCTTTTGTCCTGGAGATAAGAATGGAGACGATGAGGAGTATACAGGATAGGACAAGTTTCAGATTCATTGTTCACAGGGTTGTTACGAGTCATACTCAACTCAATGTACCTAACAACAACAACAATCACACAAGTTTTCTCTGACCTGATTAAGAGTGAGTTAAAAACACTGGGACCTGGAGCAAAAAAGGCATAGAAATTAAAGAGGAGGTGGAGATGCAGATATGGCCAGTGAAAGTTAGTGAAAACTAGCTTCTAGAGTATGGATGTTACCAGACCTGACCAAAACCCTAACAACCTCAAACTCACTGCCATGTAGTCAGCACCAACTCATAACTGACCCTCCAGCAGGTTTCCATGGCTGTGTCTTGCATGGGAAGGAATAGTTTCTTTCTCTCTTGGAATTGGTAGTTGATTCAAGAACTACTAGAGAGGAACTGTCTTTGGCTTAGCAGTGCAACTCCCTATGAATAATACCACCAGAGTATTCTAAAAATCACTGCTTAATGAGATATTGAAAAGCAGTTGAGAATGGTGAAATGACAATTGGCTTGAGTTCAAATCCCAGCATCATAACGTACCAGCTGAATGATAATGAAAAGAACGTGCCCAGATAAGATGGATTGACACAGTAACTGGGGCAATTGGGAGTAGGTGTGTCAGAGTCAGTGAGACAGGCTCTGGAAGGGCTTCAGAGCTGTTTTGCATAGGGTCACTATGAGTTGCAGATGACTCAATGGCACATAACAACAACAACAGCCTGTTTATCTATGAAACTTGGATGATAACAAGGGTAACTTAAAATAGTTATGGGGTCCAAATGCATTCCTACATATAAAAGTAGTAAGAGTAATATCTGGCACAAACCAAGTGTGATATTTGCCAAAGAAGCAATTATTTTAAGTAAAAATGGCTATTTCTAGGCTAAGTATCTAGTGTCTATTTCCTTCATCTCATCAATATTCTTAGTCACAAATGCTAACTTCAACCTAATTGTATGTTTCTACCTCTTCGCTCATGTTTACCTTGTCAAACATGAAGACTTTATTGATTTGGCCTTGGAAGACCCTCAGGACAGAAGTGATGTGCACACAGGCATCCTGGATGGCCTGACCTATCTCTTCTGCTTTGTTCTGGTCCTTAAACATCAGGTTCACAAACACAATTGTCACTGGACGAAGCTCAGACAAATAGCCTCGAAGCTGTTTGTCATCAATCTGCAAGGTAAAGACTGTTTTCAGGCAGTGTACCTCACAACACCACTCATATCTCATACTACAAATTAACACTAAGAGCAAAGGAGACTTTTGAGATGTTCTGGGGAAGCTGGAGCTATCAGAACGTGTGGGTTACAACATGTTAGAGTCAGCTAAGAGTAAGTGGAAATGCAACATAATAACAGCTTTTCTCTGAATGAGGACTTGAATTTTTGACCACCAGTCACTTCTTTTGTTTTGGCCAACAACCACCCTATTGTTCCAACTGTTAACTTCGTCATGCCAACAGAAGCTATTCAAATATACCAGCTACTTCTCAGAAGAAAGATGAACCATCTCCTCTCTGTTATTGAAAGCCTATGAAAACCTGCTGGAAAATCAGCTATGGGTTAGTTCTGACTTGATAGCAATTAATTGAGTTTATTGAGTTGAATGGCTCTCTTATTTTTATGATTATGCAGAAGTCCCAAAATAGGAGTTGAAGATCAAATATAGCTTAGAAATGTGTATATGTAAATATATGTATGATTTTTTTATATATCTTGATATGTTGTTTTTGTGTACTGTGAAGTCAGATCCAACCCATAGCTGATCCTCCAGTGGGTTTTCAAAGGCGGTTCAAAGGCACAATGAATCAAAACTGACACATTGGCAATGGATATAAACATTTCACTTTTTCACACAGGAGGAGAATGCCCATCCTTCTCCAATGGAACAGCTAATGAATTTGAACCATGCACCTTTGAGAATGCAGTGCAACTTCTTGCCACTAGGCCATCAGAGCTTCCTAATTTTTATAGTTTGGAAAAATAATATTTGTCAATTAATTCAAGCTAATACCTTCATAACATAGTAATTTGCAAAATATTTACATATTCTCTTCCACTATGGGGATTCCTAGTGGTACGGTGGTTAATGTGCTTGACTGCAACTTGAAAAGTTAGTGGCTCAAACCCACCAGTCACTTTTTTAGAGAAATATGTGACAGACTGCTTCTTTAAACTTTACACCTTAGAAACTCTATAAGAATAGTTTTACTGTCCTGTGGGGGATTCACTATGAATCAAAACTGATACGTTGCCAATGGATATAAGCATTTCACTTTTTCCTCAAATGAACTGAAAATCAGCAATATTATCCTTGTTTTACTGATTTGACAACTCAGGAGTAGAAGAGTAACACATCTTTCCAAAGGCACAGAATGAGACTCTAGCAAACTAGAACTCAGATCTCTGAACTACCTAGTCCAACATTCTGTCTGCTACATGCCTTTTCCTCTCAGATATGGTATATTTCACTCAGCTTCCTTCATCTCTCCAAACTTCCCTACATGGCCCTCAGAGTATGGAGTTTGTCTTTCAATATGGCTTCTCCAGCATTATTCAAATGAGGATAATTGACCCATGTGGGTGGTCAGAACTATGCAAATAGGGTGTGCTGGCTTATCCACTAGAGGGTTGGCTATCTACCATTCCACAAGGGGATTGGTCAGTCTCAACAATCTATAAGAGGACTGGCTAGTCTTGCCAATAAATTGAAGAGCTCTACCTGCAGAGATAGAATTCTTCCCCGACCAGAAGAGATGGAATTCTTTCCCCAGCCAGAGAATAGAGACCTCCTCTAACCCGATGAAATGTAGGGCACACTTATTTTGGAGCAGCAACAGTAATGGCTGAACTGGAGAATTGATGTGAGATAGTACTTTGCATGAGGGAAGTCAATAGCGGCAGGGCCGAGAACTTTGTTGGACAATTAGGGGGAAGCTAATATTGGTAGGACTGAGAACTTGGGAACACTGTGAGGCTTGAGGCTGAGGTGTTTTTTGTGCACCTTCTGGGAACTGTGACTTTATTCTGCCATTTATAAAAATTAGAACCTTTTGATTCCCCCAATATGGTTCTCTGTGGTCAGTAAGCTGTCACATCATATTTTAGACCCAACAAAGCAGTACGATTGGTGTTGAGATGACTACAGGCATAGGAGCATGAGGGACATGTTTGATCTCATGGGGATTGGTTTGGTGTTATTAATGCTGTGGATGGGGATAGTTCCTCTTTGTGAAGATGATAAAGGTCTGATGGTGTTCCCTACATGGCACTTGCTTTCTTATAAAGAATCACAAGAAAAGGAGAGTATTCCCAAATGATATCTGCTAATCCTTATCCTTCAGTGTTGTTATGCTAAATGCAGAGCAAACCAAAGAAGAAAATAATTACTTTCTCTCTTCCAAAAAAGCGTGGAAGTGTCAAATTCTCTCCTGAAAATCTGAAATACATCTTTAATATGAAAGAGGGAACTGTGCACAGGAACTACTGCAGGAAATCTTTCAAACTGACTTGGACAGTGATGGTTTTATGTAATGTTATTTTCTCAAAAGATTATTTAATAATTTCAAACTAATCACTATAATGATTTCTTTCAAATAAATGTTTTAAAATTATTAAGACATTTTGTCATATCATGTGCTCTGAATTTGATTTGTAAAACATAAACACAGTATTTCTAAATATCTGTATTGTTTAGGAAAGGGTCAGACTTTTTGTCTTTGTGTTCTTTTCTGCATCATTATTTGTATTTCTTCACAAGTGTCTATTATTTCTACCTGCACTATTCCCAGCACCTCACAGAATGACCATTTTATATTCCATCCTTATAGACTTTGTTCTCAACTGGAGATATCTGAAGAAGTATCAGATATTACATATCTTGGGGATATAATACCCAAGGGAGGCACAGGGGTGGTCTTCTTGAGGATTAAAAACTTTGAAGAATCAAGCAATCACAGGTATTAGAGGGAATATTTTAAAATCAGGCTGAAAATGGAAGGTTGCATTCTCTTCAAGCTATACTCTGAAGACAGCTAGTTGAGCCACTGGCTCAAAGGAAATTAAGGGCCATGCTCTCAGAGAGTTTACCAGTAAGTTTGACAATTTTATGGTTTTGACCTGTGTTCCTCATTTCACCCTAATTCCATCTGGGGATTTTTATCATGATCATTTTGGAAGTAGTCTTCAATGTTAGCCAACATTTAGTTTTCAGGATTGTGGACAAAGGCAGTAATCTATATAGAAACAGATTGCTCTTTCTCCCATGAAGTAGTTGATGGGTCCAGATTGGCAAACTTTCAGTTAGCATCCAAATACTTAACCAATGCACCATCAGGGCTGGATAGTTGAAATCCTAGCTGTATCTCCTAAATTATAATCTTAGCAGAATCCCTGGCAAACTTCTGAATCTCAGTGCTTCTCATTTCTAAAACGAGAATAAAAATATCTTTCAAGGATTTTGAACAATAAATATGTGAAACAGCAGAGTGCCTGGCATTTGGTGAGTCCTACAAATGTTACAAGTCACATGAATTAATGCCTTTGAAAGAACCTGGAGCTAAGAGAATAATGAGAAAAAACTTTGGCGAGGCCTGGTTAAAGGATTGAACATTCTAATTACCTATATTGTTAGGTTTTAAAGTTTAAAGTTCAAAGCAAATTACTAAGAAATGTACATCCACGTGTATCTTTCTGCCATGTGACATATAGAATGAGTGATCATGGGTTTTCATAAGTGTAGGATAGTTCCTATTTGCCCAAATTGTGTGAAGCAACAAATCCCAGTTATGCTTTTTTTTTGTCGAAGGTGATAACAAATTGAAAATTAAAAAAGCAGTTGCCATTGAAACAGATAAGGGAAAGAGCTGTTTAAAAGGGATATATGATTAGGTATTATTGTCATGACAGAAGTCCAGAACAAAGGCTGCATAGTTGAGTGGACTTGGGGGTGAGAGTGTATAACAATGAAGAATTTTTCTTTTATTTTTAAAAAGAAGAGCGAAATGGGTGGGGAGTGGGAGAGGAGTTGGCAGGGAGAAAATGCAACAATGAGTGAATGCAAATACAAAGTCTCTGTAAATTTTCATTAAAATTAATAATAATAATAATTTTTAAAAAAGCAGTTGTCATTGAGATGATTCTAACTCGTGGCAATCCTATACGCTTCAGTGTAGAAATGCACACTACTGGGTTTTCATAGCTATAGCCTTTTGTAAGCAGATTAGAAGGTCTGAGGTGACTCTGTTGTGTTGGTAGATGCCATCGAGTTGCAAATGATTCATAACTACCCTGTGAACAACACATCTGAACTCTGTCCTATCCTGTGCCATTCTCATCATTTCTGACTTCAGGTGGGATCAAGCCACCAACATTTCAGGTAGTAGGACAACACGTAAGCCATTTTGCAAACCAAAGACTTAAGTATCCTAATTTGAACAAAGTATTTTGGAGTCATCTACACAATGATGGCATAAGCTGTAGTGAGTTGTGCTGCTTACCATAAGGCTGCATGACTCCAACGGCTTAAATCCACCAGCCGATCCTCAATATAAAAAAAGGGGCAATCTCCTGTTAAAATTTACAGTCTTGGAACTTCAATAGATGTTTGCTATGAGTTTGAACCAAATTCATGGCCGTGAGAGAATGTCAGTTCTACCCCTTTTTATTTCAATGGAACAAGAAAAATAGCTGCTTCCCCCCGCCCCATTTTCCCAGTTTTCCAAGATCTCTAACACCACAGAAGTCATTAAGTTCAATTATAAAAGTACCTGCTTCCAAATGCTTTCCATTAAATACTTTTGTAGGGACAACTTTAGCTCAGGATCGGGCTCCAGCATGCATGCCAGTCTCAGGAAGTCTAAGAGGGCAAAAGGAGCAGGTTCAGGCAGGGAGGCTTGTCTCTGTAACCCCAGAGAGGAGTCCCCCAATCCCATGAGTGCCCTTTCCCTTGGATAATTCCCTCATGTACATCAAGAAAACAGTGGGGCACCAAGTGGCCAAATAGATTCCAATGAGATTCTTAGAAGTTTCAGGTTTTCCCAAATTCAATCGTGTATAGCTCAAAATACTGTGTACTGCCAACCCAAAGGTACTCTGTTAAAATCGACCAGATGCTCCATGCAAAAAGATGAGCAACCTCCTCTCATGCTATTTATAGCCTCTAAAAACCCCCTGGAAAGTTGGCTACAGTTCTGACTTGACTGCACAGAAGAACAATTATCATCACATTTTAGAATGTAGAAAGAGTTTCATCCCTGGCCCTGAGCTAAAGATTATGGCCCTAGGAGATGGAAATTAGGGAGATAAAGGGATGATAATAGAGGAGGAAGGCAACAGAATAAATGAGATGTTTGAACCCAAGGAGTATAAGGAAAGAGCACTGGATTCCAGGCCCAAGTATGACAACAACTCACTGTGTGACCTTGGACCAAACAAGTCACTTTACTTATTTAATGACTAGTATCTTGTTTGCTTATTTTAAAAAGAGCAAGTGGACTTTGGTTCAAATCCACCAGCTGCTCCACTGGAGAAAGACAGGCTATCTTGTCCCTTGCAATTAGCTGCCTCTGTAAATCTGCTGGAGGGTCAGCTATGATCTGGCTCTGACTCAAAGGCATACAAAAACAATAATCTAGATGGACTGTGGGAGGTGGGGAAAATGAAGAAACCAAAAATTAAAGAGAAAGAAATGGTGAAACATTTTCAGCAGGAAATAGATTAATTTTAATGTGAAAAATGAAATAAGTATAAAGGAAAAATGTAAATGGAACCTGAAAGGTATATATGTTTAGAAGTAAATTTAATTTTGGTGTTTATTTATCATGTCCAACATCTGAGCTCTGGTAGCCTTCTCTGTAGGAAGTTGTGCTGGTCACCAAAACGGGACACTTCTCTGGCAGCTTGAATCCAGCAAATCTAAGGGAGAAAGATGGGGAATCATGCCCAGGATGGAAAGTTACTTGGAACTTGGGCTTTTCCTTGAAGGAATTTACTATTCCACTGGACCTTTACTAAACAATATGCACAGAGAAGTAAAGAAGCAAAAAAAAAAAATTTAAAAAAAATAAACCAAATAACCTTACAGATTATATGGGACTGGGACCAGGGAGACACAAAGGAAGAATCAATCAATATGAGCCACTTTGATCATAATATGCTTAATGGGAGAAGCAGGAATTTGAAAGACTTATGGCATTTTTACCAGAAGAACTGATGAAAGCATACCTAATAGTAGGCAAAGAACAAACATAATATGTAAAAGGATTGGTTAAGACTCTTAACCTGGTTTGAATCCATGCTTATGTAGATGAAGCAGGCTGTTACTGGGTACCATCAGGTCAGACTTAACTCATAATTGACCCTCCAGCAGGTTTTAGGAGCAGTTTAATTGCATGGAAAGAGATTGCTCATCTTTCTCCTTAGACGCAGCTGGTGAATTCAAACCACATACCTTTGGAATGGCAGGGCGGCTCCTTACCACTAGGCCACCAGAGCTCCCATGATAAAGAATAAGTGACATTAAATAGACTGTGGAGAGAGGTAACGAGCTTGGGAAACAGTCAGGAATTTGTAAACATCTGGGTTAGGGTGGTGGCAGGGCAGATAGAGAGGTGCGTGCTCAATATGAAGCCTAAAAATATCTGACATACACGTCTTTATGAGATGGGTTGAGGTAGCTAGAAAAATCAGGTTTAAAATCAGGAAAAGAGTACGTCAGGAATGCATACTGTTTCCTTACCTTTTATTTTATCCGCCCCCCCCCCCATACCTTTTCAATGTATATATGGAGCAGATCATTCAGGAGGCTGGACTTTATGAAAAGGAATGTGGCATCAGAATTTGAGGAAGACTCATCAACAGCCTGTGTTATGCAGATGACACAATCTTGCTTGCCAAAACTGAAGAGGACCTGAAGCGTTTGCTGCAGAAGGTCAAAGACTGTATAGTCTTCAATATGGATTGAAGTTCAGCATCAAAGATTCTCACCACTGGGCCAATTGGCAGTACAATGATGGATGTAGAAGAGATTGAAGTTGCTAACAATTTCAGCTTACTCAGTTCCATAATCAACACTCTTGGCACTAGTGCTCATGAAAAAAAGACATTAAGAAAATATGCTGTCAGGGACTTCTTCAGAGTGCTGAGCAATGATGAGTCTAGAGACTAAAGTGCACTTGTTTCGGCCATGATCTTCCCAATTACTTGTTATGCATCAGAGAGCTTGACAATGACCAAGGATGACGGAAGAAGAATTAACTAATTTGAGTTGTGATGCTAGACAAGAGTATTGAACATATCATAGACTGCCAAGAGAACAAACAGGTTTTTCCTGGACAGAGTGAAACCAAGCTACTCCACGTAGGCAAGGATTTTTGAAGCTCTGTCTCACAGGTAATTCGATGGTGCATAACTAAAACAATGTTTAAAATATTCAATATTGCACATAAATGATGAGAAAGAAGAATAAATTGAAGGTGTTTCTGAAGTTTCTAGTTTTGAAGAAGAAAAAGGTTTTAGCAAAAGATAGGAATTCAGAATGCTGATGTTGGGTTGTGTTTGAACCTGGTCAGGATAACCCACAAATAGGTTTTGAATTTTTGTTTTCTTTGTTAATCTAAAATTCAGAATAACCTAGGATGACTGCCAACAGTACCAGACTTGATTGATTGTCTACCACCTACAGGAGACCTTGAGAGGGAGTGTTTCCTCAGATTTTTGAGGCCCTACATTCTTACTCATTTCACCCTTGTCCTGGCCCTGATGGGAGTGATATGAGGGTTACACACAAATGAATCAATCACTAAGAAGTGAGTAGAAGAGGGTTGAAGGTCAACACAAATCCCTGAGTCACTAACATTTAAGGAATAAGATAGAGGCACAACAACAGGCATTGAATGGGTGACCTGAAGGATAAAAGGAAGAGTAAGGGAAAGAATGCTCTTAAAGATGAGAAAAGAGATGCTTCCCAGAAAGGAAAAATAATCTGAGGCCAATCACCTAAGACAAGGCCTGAAAAGATAATACCTGTTTTGACAAGCTGACAGTCAATGACAGCCTTGACTTAGTCAAGTAAGTAGAACAAGAAGGCAAGTGAGTAGAAGCTATCTCTCAGGATTCAAGGCTTATGAGTAGATAGACATATATACCATGGGATACATACAGTCAACATTTCTTGGGCAAATAAATAAATGAGAAGATGGAAGAGAGACGAATATACAGATTACTAACCTGAGATGTTTGGAGGTGAAAGGTGTTAGGAGGGGTAAATAGGATACAAAGACATTTCATTTCTTTGTTTTAGTAGCATAGGGGAAGATTTACAGATAGATGTTTGTATGATTATGGAAAAGATTCAGGACAGGATGCAACAACCAGAAGAAGATAACATTGATGAATGGGACCTTCTAAAGACTAAGTCCCTGTATTCATAAAAACTTTTTCCAATAGGGTGAAAAGAAAACCTACTGACTGGGAAAAACATTTGGCAATCGCATTTCAAAGAAGGGTATCATAATGAAAGTTTATACAATACTATAAGGTTTTCACAAGAAAAGGACTAATGATCCAATAACAAAATGGGCAAAAGACATGGAAAGACTTTTCACAGAAAAAGACATTCAGATGGCCAACAGACACATGAAGAAATGCTCCAAATCACCAGCAATAAGAGAGGTACAAATTAAAACCACAATGAGATACCATCTTATCCCAGTAGCAGAAGCAAAGTTTAGCAGGGCAGCAAGTAATAAAGAGAGGATTTGGTGAGAAAGGAACTCTTAAACATTGTTGTTGAGATTATAAAATGGCTCAACCATTCTGGAAGGCAGTTTGGTGCTTCCTTAAAAAGCATAAAGATTGATTCCATATGACCCAGCTATTCCACTGCTTGGAATACACCCTGAGAAAACGAGAGCTGAGGCACAGAGACTTGTTTACAAATGGTCATAGCAGCATTATTCACCATCACAAGAACATGGAAACAGCTCAAATGTCCAACATCAATGGAATACATTGAGAAATTATGGTACATTCACACAATGGAATACTGCACAGCACACAGGAGCAATGATTTTTTTTTTAAACTACTACCTAACAACCTGAGTTATGTAGATGACACAACCTTGCTTGCTGAAACTGAGGAGGACCTGAAGTATTTGCTGCAGAAGGTCAAGGACTGTAGCCTTCAATACGGATTGAAGCTCAACATCAAGAAAACGAAGATTTTCATCACTGGACCAATTGGCAGCATCAGTATGGATGGTGAAGAGATTGAGATAGTTAGCAGTTTTAGTTTGCTTGGCTCCACAGTCAACACTCTTGGTACCAGCAGCCAGGAAATCAATAGACGAATTGCATTGGGAAAGTCAGCTGTCAGGGACCTCTCCAGAGTACTGAAGAGCAACAATGTCAGGCTGGAGATTAAGAAGAGCCTCATCTGAGCTATAGTCTTCACAATTATGTACTATGCGTCAGAGAGCTAGACAGTGACTAGGGGTGATAGAAAGAGAATTGATGCCTTTGAGCGGTGGTGCTGGAGAAGAGTGTTGAATATACCATGGACTGCTAGGAGGATAAACAGGTTTGTCTTGGAGAGGGTGAAGCCTGCTTGCTTCTTGGAGTCAAGGATTCTGAAGCTTCGTCTGATATACTTTGGGCATGTTGCAAGGAGGGACCAGTCCTTGAAGAGGGACATCATGCTTGGAAGGATGGAAGGACAGGGAAAGAGAGGAAGACCCTCGACGAGATGGATCAATTCTGTGTTTGGGGTGGTGGGAGTGAGTGTGTGGAGATGGTGGGGTTGGCACAGGATAGAGTAGGGTTTAGGGCTCTTATACATAACAACAACAACCTAACATGGGAGGGATTGAAAAGCATTATGTTAAGTGAACTAACACAGTCTCATAAAGACAAATACTGTATAGGACTATTATTGTAGAGTACGCACAAGGATCCAAGGGGGGTGGGGGGAGGCTTAAACATGTTGTTGTTTGTTGTTTGTTGTTGTTATGTGCCGTCGAGTCGCCTGCAACTCATAGCGACCCTATGTACAAAAGCCCTAAACTCCGCTCTGTCCTGTGCCA